AGCCGGGAATTGCGCGGCCAGCGCCCGCGCCCTATTTATGGGAGGCCGCCCGGCCAGGGCCGCGGCACCGGGGCTGAAAGCGCCGGGCGAATTGCAAAAGGTCCAAAGGGCGGTGTCCGGGCCTGTTTGCTTTTCTGCACCAGGCCCGGCTCGGAGCCGCAGGAGGGGCCGGGCGAGGGGCTCAGCTCAGACTCAGCCAGGGCCACTCCGGGCCTCGCCTGTCCCCGGGGTCTCAGGGAGTGGGGCTGGGGCCAGGGGGCTGAGTCCCCAAGAAGCCTGCGCTGACCCAGCGGTGCCTCCAGAGATGAGGGGCCAGAGCCACCCCTGCTCCCTGCGCAGACTTTGTAGTCACCGGGAGCCAGTTGGTCCTTAACAGCGTCTTGGTGGAGACACCTTCCTACTCATTCTTTCCCATTTCAGAGGACTTCGAGTTTGTGTGGGCACCCCAATCCAGCCCAGTACCTGTGAATGTGGGTCACCTGCCCTGAATTCAGCCCATCCGGAGGGAGCAGAAAGGGGAAGGAGGGAGGCCCGGTGAGGAACTGACCCCCACCCTCCCTGAGGGACCATGGCCCAGTCGCAGCAGGAATCCAGGAGCCCCGATCTTCCAGAAACCCCAGTGAGTGGGGGCCTCTGAGTCCCCCGCCCTCAATTTCTTCTTGGGGAGGAGAGGAGAGGAGGTTTTTCCCTACGTGAACTGCTTCTGGGTTTCCTCAGGGGCTGGGAGGCCAGTGAGGAGACCGGCGTAATGAACGGACACAGCACGTTTCTCCAAACATCCTGGAACTTTCTCCACGAAGCCGTCCCTTCTTTCCTAGGTGCTGCCCATTTCCCACAGGAAGCTTTCGCCGAGGCAGCCCTCCTCCTCCCTGCCGAGGACACGCGGCACCGGGCAGGTAGTTCAGCAACGCTGTCTCACTGACGCGGGTCACTCCCACAGGGCGACTGACGGACGGTGCTGTGACGGGAGGGACACATGTCTGAGGCTGGCCCCGTCCACAAGGCACCTCCGATCCGGCTGGGGAGACGAGGTGAGATGCGTAGACAGGAAACTGCCGGGGAGCCGGGAACACAGGCTGCAGGCAGTGCTAAATAGAGAGTGTGTGTGTGTATTGGGGGGGGGGTAACCGCTGGAGGAAAGCGAGGGAAGGCATGGAAGGGGAGGGGGCCCGGAGCAGTGAAGGGGGACCGTGGACTCAGGGGTACGCGAGGCACCCGCGGCAGAAGGACTTGTTACAGTTTGTTATTTATGAGATGCATCCAGATGTCACAAACTACTTGTGATGTTATTTACATCTTCTGGTGCCAACACGGATAGTTCCAGAAGGGTCATGTTCTAAAGCAGTAATAGTATATAACAGTATATAAAGACCCCGTTCCCTTAGAGGAGACTCCCCCAAGCACGTATGCCTTGTTCCTGGCACTTGGGCCTCCACAGTTGTCCTCATTCGTGCACTGTGGTCCTTAGCCAGGAATTCCCTCTGGGCAGCTAAACTCCCTTCAGTGATCAGCTGCGTTGCATCCATGGTATATTAATACTGTTAAAACTGGATATTACAGAGGTTTCAACCCAAGGCTGGTCATATCTTCACCACTGAGTTGTGAAGTGTCTGGAAATAGTAATAGCACCCAAACTCCACTTGCCTAACATTTTATTCGAACTCTTTCATGTGGACTGTCTTTCCACAGGAGGAGCCGCTGTCAGGATTTCAGGAAACGGTTCAGCTCCCAGGCATATTCACTTGAAGGAGAATGGGTAAACATATTTAGTTACAAAGAAACCACAAGGAGATGCTTAACTTCAATCTCTAAGCACAAGTCCAGGCTTTCTCTGTTGAATGACAGATGAAGTCACCATCCTGCAGTCACTGTCAGTAGGGAACATTAAATAAGTCATGGGGTGTAATGTACAGCATGGTGACAACAGTCAATGGTGCTGTACTGCATATCTGCAAGTTGCTAAGGGAGTAAATCTTAAAAGTCTTTATCACAAGAAAAAAAAAATCTCTTCTTGGTAACTATGTATGGTGTTGGATGTTAACTTACTGTGGTGATCATTCCATAATATATACAAATACTGAATCATTATGTTGTAGAAAAATAGAGAACATCATTTTTATGACTTGAGAATCAAAAATGAATCTGCTTACTTGGTGCAGGGAAAACCTGGGGGTTGTTCAGATGCCCCTGAGCTGCCACCATCTCTAAAGGAGAAAGCGCAAGAACTTAGAAGCATCGGAGTCAGCTTCTCTTTCTTTCCCTGCTTTCCTCTAGAGAGTCACCCCGGTGCTGGTGTCAGCCAGCAGTGCTCATCCTCTGACAAGGACAAGCTCACAAGCACCACAGAGCAAATGCTGGATTGTTCAGCTGCCCTGAGTACACTTACAGAAATACCGTAAGGGTTAATGTGTAGACTCTTTTCTTAAATTACTAAATCCACTTAGATCTTTTGTCACAAGCTATTTGAAAATATGGTATGATTTGTGACCACAGATATCACCCTTCATCCCTTTTCCTTTAAGTAGAAGATTTTTCAGTTCTCTCTCCCAAACACACTCAAAGTTTCAAAGGATAGAGACCTGTCTTCATTGAGACACTGAAAGGTGTCAGGAGTCTGGAAATCTTCTAGTGTAAGGATTCACTGAATAGAGAAAACCCAGGGCCAGAGAGGTCAGCTGCAGTAAAGAAAACCAGTGGGAATGTCAGACTCAGGAAGACCTGGGATTGAGTCCTAGCTGGGTTTCTCGTGGGGTTTGTAACCTTGGTTGTAACGCTTTCCAAAATCTGTTTACCCATCCCTGAAACAGGATTAAAAATACCAACCTTCCTCATAGGAATTTTTGTAGAATTAAAGTGAAACAATTATGTAAACAACTGCATTGATAGCATGATGCCTCATAAAAAAGAAAGCCACTCAGTAAGTGGTAAATGACCATTTATTATGTGTGTGCGTTAGAGTGGAAGCATATTGTAGGGGACCTATTAAGCGAGCTAATCACAACGGCTATAGAAAGAGAGATTAATAGAACAAAAATAAGAAATAAGGCTAAAGAAAGAGGTCAGAAATGAAACAGGGCATCGCTGAGGTCTAGGCATAGTGAGACGAGGCATGCATTTGTCTCTGACAATTCCTAACTTTCCTGGGTATTTGAAATTCTGTCCTTTCAGAGGTGGATGGAGGTCTTCCTTCAGCAAGTAGACTAGCGACTTTAACAGAGACACATTCTGATGTCACAAAGATTAATCTCAGCTAGTGGCTATGACTTATCAGCTTGTGAAAGCAAAGTCCTGTCGGGTAAACCATCAGTCTGAGTAATCACAGATCTCTTGGTACCCATTAGAAAGCCACCTGATTAGTGGAATACCGAGAAATTAGATAATGCTGAATATCCCAGTTACAGTCTCTAGATGTGAAACTATGCATTCTGTTTATCTGCAGGTGACCAGAAGGGTCCTGAACAAGTTCGGGGAACTATGAAAACAGCCCAATATTCTGAGTTCAATGTAGTTCATATACTGAAACAGGTGTTCAGTATACACTTGCTGAATACAAATGAATGAATCAATGCCACTCAGTCATACCCCATTGTTCCCAGGATATTTATGTACAGTGACCAGGATGCTAAATAAATCTTTTTGGTGACATAAAACAAGGAAATACAATCTGATACAAATTATTTCCAGCTTTACTGTTCAAAAACCTCATCTGGCAAATAGGAACCAGTATTGACAACGATTAATTAGCCTTGTCTTTTCTGCCTGTGACAGCATTGTAATTGCAAATAATGCCCAGAAGCTGGAAAGTAAACTTTAAGAATTGTAGATGGGAGCCATGCCCAGTGTGGTCTGTGCATGCCAATGACAAAGTGCACATGCACATGCGCGCGCGCACACACACACACACGCAAAATAAGTGTCAAGGAAAAAAAATTGTCCATTTAGGTGAATGGCACAAGTGGAAGATGGTGGGATGGGCCAGGGTCAACCAAATGAAGCCACTACTGATGGATGATTAACCTCCGGTGAGGAAGCAAAAGGAACCTTTCCTACCCTGTTATTCTGCTATGCAAGAGATAAGGTCAGAACGTTGAGCAGCAGTTCTTACCAGGGGAGAGAAGTCAGAAGTCAGCACCGTCCAACGTGCAGTCAGGCTCTGCGGCTATCACTTCCCTGACTACGCGCTCTCACCCATCTGCCCTTCCAGGGCCTGCTCCAGCCCCACCTACTTGGAGGGGCCTTTCTCTGGCTCCAGTCCAGTTAGACTCATGGCTTCTGACCCTGCTCTCTTATCAGTCAGTTTCTTCATAGGGCAACTGATCCTAAAGGACCTTCATTACAGACCTTCTACTGTTGCCCTGAACTTCTGTTTCCACTAATACTATTTAATTTTTCACGTGTTTACATATTATCTTGCTAACTGGAGACACAAGCTTGGAGGACAAGAATGGTGTGTAGTTTTCACCTTTGGATTCCTCTCCCTCTCTCTCACCAGCACCGCACTGGGCCAGGCGGACAGTAGCTAAGGAGTAACTACTGGGATTATAATGTGAGATGGTCCTGGTGACACAGGGTCTTTTTTCACGCCTGCAACTCAGTTTTACTTTTGGGTGCCGCTGCATGTTTCTATCTTAATTTAGAATGTGTGGTGAATTTGAATCAGTAGGAGCGAGAGGCAGAGTCCAGGAGGCCAGGATCACGGGACAGTCTCAGACTCTCCGAGGGTCAGTCCCCCGTCTGTGTGATGAGTGGAGAGGACAAGGTGACCTTTAAAAACCAGTGCAAAA